GAAGAAAGCAGTCTAGCTCGCTTTATTAAAAATTGGATGACTAATTTCCCCAAACACATAATAGAAACAAGGTTGGGGATAGTCTGTGGAAGGTGCTGACCGTGTGTCATGCAGCTTAGAGAAAAAAAGAAATCAGGATTTGATAAATCATTACACGTTCTTTTTCTAAGATGTCATATTCCTCTATCATTTGGTCAGTGCCTGTACTTCTGTGCATCACACTTTCTTATAGAATGTTTTAGGATGGCAGCATCAAGGCAGCCTGAAGAGAAGTTAAGGCATGTCTAGGAATTGGTGAATGAATGGATGAGAGTGGGTTCAGGAATCCAGGATCCTCTCACATTCCTCTCCTGCTTCTTTCTCGTTTTCCTCAGTAGCCCAAGAGTCTTTTCAAAACAAATCCCTCAGGAAACCTGGGTGGCTCAGTTAGTTAAGTGTCTGACAGTTGGATTTTGCTCAAGTTACAAGCTCACCGTTCATGGGCTCTGCGCTGTCAGCACAGAGCCTGCTTGGGATTCTCTCTCTCTCCTCTCTCTGTCTCTCTCTTTGCCCTTCCCCATTCACTCTCTCTCTCTCTCAAAAATAAATAAAATTTAAAAAAAATAAAAATTAAGGGGTGCCTGGGTGACTCGGTCAGTTAAGCGTCTGACTTCAGCTCAGGTCATGACCTCACAGTTCGTGGGTTCAAGCCCCACTTCGAGCCCTGTGCTGACAGCTGACATCCTGGATCCTGCTTCGGATTTTGCGTCCCCCTCTCTCTCTCTGCTCCTCCCCCACTCACGCTCTGTCTCTGTCTCGTTCAAAAATTAATAAACATTAAAAAAATTAAAAAATAAATGAATAAATAAAATAAATACAAATCCCTCAACATGTCACTCCTGATTATTAGAACCTATTAAATTAAATTATTAAACATCCCACCGGAAAATACCTACCAGGCCTTGCAAGATTGCCCCCAACCTATTCTGACGTCTTCCCCCACAACTCACCTCTTCTCTCACTACACAACAGCTACATTGACTCTCTCCCCTCCGTGAACATGCCTAGAACCGTTGTGATCCACATTCCTCCTTCTGGAGCTTTACCCTTCTCTCTTCATCTGGCCAGCTCCTCCTCCTTCAAATCACTGCTAGATATCACTTCCTCTAGGAAGTCTCACCTGATCCCATAAGCCTAAGTGGGATCTGTTATCTGTTGCATTCCATAGTTCTCCACTGGAGCACCTATTACAGATGAAATTAAATCATTATGAGTACAATAATTAGTTGGATAACTCTCTCCCCTATTTGGCCTCCTCCCAGGGGCAGAGACTGCCTGTCTTTTTCACTACTCCCTCCTCAGCGCACAACACGGTGTCATTAATGTTCAATGCTCTGTGTTGGAAAAAAATGTATATTTTTGGACAAAAGAAAAGGAATAAGTGAATGAATGAATAAATAACGATTCCTTTGGGATGAAATGGGTACCATGTAATACAAGATAACATGTTCCTCCTTCTACCCTTCCCATCCTGCGAACCACTTTCCCACCCTGCAGCTGCCTTCTCAAAGAATCTCAGAATCTCTGCTCTTTAAATCGTGAAAGCTTGCTGCTGGGAACACCCACAGACGCTCTCTACAAACACACACAACTCACTCTGAGTAATCGTATTGATTCGGAATTAACGGCCATTCAGATACCTCATTGAAGATGCCATCTGGGATGTTATTGCTCTTCAGAGGTAGATCATATTCTGAGAAAATCTGTCAAAACGTAGAAATAACTCATCAAAATGGCCATTGCAGAACGTAGCCGCGCTTCAAAGAGAAGCAGACTCTGATGATTCAGGTTTCATTCCCCCTAAGACGCAGGAGGAGGAGAGGCTGTTTCTTTCCTCTGTTTCTAAGAGTCAAGAGAAATGGAAAGTTGAGACGTGCAGAAAATGATCTTGGACTCCTTTGCTCATTCAGAGACATCTCCCTGAAAAGAAATGTTTCTCAAGAGTATCGCTGATCCTGAGGGTATGTGTTTAGGCAGAACTCAGTTTCAGTTCTTTCCTGGCCACTTTACTGTAGAGTTTGCCTATTTTCCTCGTATAAGTACCCCCACCATGTTCTGATTCAAGCAATGATGGTTCATCAGCTAGCTCCCCAAAGTATAACAATTAAACATTGCAGGCCAATACAAGCCAGCTTCGAAAAACCACAGGAGGAGCATGTTCGTGTCCTACCTGCCCTCCTTCTGGGTTGCTGCCAGGCCTTGATTGTGCCTGGAGAAACCCAAAATACAGGCGTCTCAGTAGATGCCTGCCTCCTCCACCACTCATGGGGAGCACCTGGTGGTAGCCCAGGTGCTCCTGGCTTCCGCATCATCTTTTTCATCTCCACAGAAGACCCACCCTCCGTGGGCAGCACACCATTGTCATACTTGGGAAATCCAGTATTATTCACCAGGCACCTTTGAATTGAAAATAACATTTGAAAAGGATTATCGGGGGCAAAGTCATCAACTGCTGTGTACTCATTGAACTCAAAACAATACAAGATTGATTACTTTTGTAGTGTATGCAAATTACAGATGGCATTGGTATTACTAAACCCTTAGTATTTGACTTCACCTCCAAGTGCTTCACAATTATTGTTTTTAAATCAAGAAGCTGGATTTTTTTGTGTTTTGGATTTTGTTTTGTTTTGTTTTTCTTTTTACAAAATCAGTTTATATATGTATGTATACCCTTCTTCAGAAAACAAAAGTGAGGAAACAAATCACATCTAAAGTATACTAATTAAACTTAAATGCTCATAGGAAAAAAGCACTTTATCAAAATGACCTCAATCCTCTGAGGTTTCTGACCTCCTGCATGGCACCTATAATAAAATGTCATGCCTTTGCGTGGGTGGTTCCTTTGACTCTAATTGAAGGTTTTACCTTTTCCCTTTACCTTTTCACAGCTTGGCCTAGTAGATTTATCATCTTCACTTCCAACATATCATGGGTATTAGCATTAATTTACCTAAGTGTCTTCCATATGCACAAACACTCTTTAAGGAGATTGAGCTGTAGGACCTTGGACACAGATAGGGGTATAAGAGGGAAGAATTCTTTAACATGGTCTGGGGGGGTGGTGGCAGGGAACAGGTGTGCTAATATTTGCATAGCACTTACTGAATACCCACACAAGATTCTGAGCATTACATAAATTATCACACTGTATTATCACAACATTTTAAGAAGACATATATTATTCCCCTCATTAAAAAAAATGCAAAAACAGATGCTGAGCACTTAAAGAAACTTTCCCAAAGTGGTACATCTGAAACTGGACAAGGCAGGATTGGAAACTAGGTCCTTCTAGTTGCAAAAACCATTGCTTTCTGTGTGGCATCACTCTGCCGTATAAATCTGTGCCCCAACAGCTGTCTGGAAGCTTGTCTCATTCCTTCCATCTATTTCAAGTCAAAAACAAAGGCACCTTCTGTTTCCACCTTGTCTAAAACTTGAACTTGAGATGATGTCACGGGATAGTCAAATTAAATCAGTACAGATTGATCAAGGTCTTACTTCATTGGAAATGCTATGCTGGGTGTAAAATAACTGCAGAGTCCTTCCCAGTGGGAAAGTTGGCTCTTCTGCAGAGAGAGATGTTGAGTATGAGACAGAACCTGATTACAACCAGACCTGAGCTCTTTCCCTCATCCCTTGAGCCCTGCTTGCTCTGCTCACATCAGAACCTTCTGGTTCTCCTCCCCCTCAGTTTCCAAGCCACCTAGAGCCTACCTGTGCCTCAGCTCTAAATCCGTATGTACCCCTGCCCCATGTAACCATAATCACTGCCATTACCCCAGCACTTGGTTGTATTATCTCTTTCCTGGACTATTTAAACAACTTTGAAGCTGACATCCTTCTTTGTTTCATACTACACGTACACCCAGATTAATCTTGTGTTTATAAATTCAGCCTTTATCATGACACTGCCTGTCTCCAAATGATTTACACACTTAAAAAGAATGTAAATAATATTTTCTCAAAACAAAGAATCTTGCTTAGAAGCTTAGAAACAAAACAGGTGAGAACAGATCATCTTTAGTTTAGACCTGAGAATTGGGGGCCCTTGCCCTTTGGATTCCCCCTTCCTTAGGCCCCGAGCACATCCAAGGCACCTCCATGTAAACACTCAAACACGTTGCAGTTTGAGATCACTGGCCTGAGAAAAAAATCCCAGGTCATTAGTACAATATTCACGGACTTTCAGCCCTTCTGTATAGTGGGCTTAAGAGCCACCCCGTAGGGTTGCCGTAAGATTCGGAGTCAATACACTCAAGGACTTAGAACACTTCCAGTACATGGTAAGTGCTCAGTTAATCGAGTTTGCTTGTTTCCAATCCTTCACCCATTTCTGAACCCTAAGCTTCAGTTTACATGAGCTTCTCTGCCCAGTGTTTTCCTTCCTCATTTATCTGTCTCTAGTCATGCCCTTAAAACTATTTCCTCAGCCTAAAATCCCTTTGCCATCTCATTTCTGCATGTTCAACCAGGTCCCTCTTCCAGGACTCATGGCCTCCTGAATTATTATCTCAGCCAAGAGCCATCCCTCCTACCTCTGAGCATTTGTAGACTTGTACCTGGGCCTTTCCCAGAACCTGGTTGCAGCATTAATTGTGCTATTCGGTTCCATCTCTCCCACCCTAATGGACATGCTGAATCTGAGCCATTTTTTTCCCTTGCCTCTATCCCTATGTACCATGGTAGGTTCCCAGTAAATGTTGAATAAGTTACAACTCACTTCATCCCTTGAAATGATGATGTGATGCCACCACTTTGGCATTGCCACTGCTGAGTTAATCAAGGATACCTATGACTGTGAGATACCAACAAATGTTATTTGAAAGCTAAAATGTCATGAAAGGTGAACAGGCCTTTCTCAAAATATTTTTGATTGAATCATACAGTGCTTGCATGTCAACCTCATTTTATTCCAGGTTATATTTCATTCCTGTTGTTGACCTGGAGTTTTTCTCCAGCAGGTTGTTGGCCGTCATGCTGCTCTGGCCCCAGCCTGTGGGTCACGAGTCTACTGAATGAAGAATCCCAGACAAGGTAAGCTGCCCATAGCTCTGAGCTTGCCTCTGTGGTACCTCCCCCTCCTCAGCTCTGCCTAGGTTGGACCACTTGGCTCTCATACCTGGATTACTGGGGTCAGCCTTCTAAGCTAACCCTGCCTCATCTCTTCTCTACTTGGCCATCCTTCAAAGCCCCCTGAGTGGGGTTTTATAAAGCAGGGATGTGACCACATTATTTATTTTATCCTTTCTTAAAAGCCATCATTAGCCACATTTCCCAAAATTTGATCCACAGAATTATCAGAAGCACTTGGAGAGCTTGGTAAAACGCTGATTCCTGAGCTCTGTCCTGGACCCAATAAGTCCTGGCAGACAGCATTTTTCAATAGCTTCAAAGGTGATTTCTGTGCACACAAAGGGTTTTTTTTTTTAACTTTATTTAATTTTGAGAGACAGAGAGACAGAGCATGAATGGGGGAGGGGCAGAGAGAGAGGGAGACACAGAATCTGAAGCAGGCTCCAGGCTCCCAGGTCCCAGCTGTCAACACAGAGTGCGACGCGGGGCCTGGACCCACAAACCTTGAGATCATGACCTGAGCCTAATTCAGACGCCCAGCCAGCTGATCCGCCCAGGCACCCCTATGCACACAAAAGTTTAAGCAACCACAACTTAAATACGGGCCAGTTGTCCATGTCAGCATCCCCTGGAAGCAGCAGCGTCTTTCTCATCTTGGTCCCGTGGAACCTCCTCATTTCCCCCATGGGCACACTCTTGCCCTATGAAATACTTTTGCTTCCCTCTTGCTGTCTAGGAGATGTCACTGCTTCTAGAAAACTTAGTTTCCTATAGGCATGTTCAGTTTACCCCACTCAAGGTGCCTTACCTTACCTCCTAAAGCACTGTTCTGTGAATGTTGATTTACATGCTTTTCCTCCAACCCCCATAAGTCACCCCCATAAGTCCACCATAAGTTGGAACCATGTGTGGATTTAAAGTCAGTATAATACTGTGGGTTTTGAGCCATGGGCTCATGTAGTATGCTTCTTCTCTGTGGCTTTCTCACTGAGTGACAATGGATATATCCATGTATCTCCCTGGGCCTTGGTTTTGTTATCTAAGATGACTACATCACTAATCACTACCCAACTTTCCTTTTTTTGGGACTAAATGTGATAATACATGTGAAGGGCTTAGAAGGGTACTCAATAAATACTAGTCACACTTTTGTTGTTATCAATATTATCATTCCCTTATCTTGTTATCTCAAGGGTGAAACAAAATGCCTGCCACAAAGGGACATTAAATCACTATAGACCTTACCTCCTTGTAAGGCTCTTCGGATAAGGTCTATATCCTTGGTAGAAAAAAAATAAAGTAGCATTACTTTTCTTTTCTCCCTCTTACTTTATATAAGATAAATGTCCAGACTTTGCTGGCTTATAAACCAGAACTCAATTCCATGTGAGGTTCCTGTGACTGCTGATGGTTCTCTCATGGTACAGGCAGAAGAGAGCCGCAGGAGAGGTATCAGCACATTGTGTCTCAACCATGAAAAAGATTGCTCTGTATTGACCACTGAATACCAGAGACCAGGCTCAAATGTAAAAGACTTTAGTGGACATTCTGGGTGAGAAAGGAGAATAAAGAGCAATGATTATAACCATTTACATTGATTGAACAGCCTTCAACACTCTTTATCCAGTCAAGAAATATTTATTAAGCACCTACTGTGGGGAAGGCATCTACTATACATGATACAAAAAATGTTATACTAATGATTAGTCAAAAATCCCTGTACTTAGGTAGTTTACATTCCCATAGGGAGAAAGAGTAAATAAAAACAATAATAAGCAGGGCGCCTGGGTGGCTCAGTTGGTTGAGCTTCTGACTCTTGACTTAGGCTCAGGTCATGATCCCAGGGTTGTGGGATTGAGCCCTGCATTGTGCTCTGTGCTGAGCCTGGAGCCTGCTCAAGATTCTGTCTATCTCTCCCTCTGCTCCTCTCCCGCCCATTCTCTCTCTAAAAAATAATTTAAAATAAAAACAATAAAAAGCATAAAAACCTACAGATTATGATATGTGCTAAAGAGCATAAAAGGAAATAGAGCACCATAAGGAGGGTGTTTTGTATTACCTCAGTAGCCCATCATTGAGTAGACAGATTCTATAGTGTTCTTAACTGAAAAAACTGAAGCACAGAGAGGGGAAGTAATTTGCCCAACTAGCAAAGAATCAAGTTAGAATTTGAATTCAGGCCATCTGACTTCAGAGTCCGTGCTGTCAACCACAGTGTACCCCCACAACCAATGTCAGTGGTCCGGGCAGGAGTGACAACTTGCCTTGTTTGTGGCTACCGTGTGCAGTTGGACAGTGGGACAGCTGGCCTCCTACATAAACAGCATCCTGAGCATGTCTGCTCTTCAGGGATCCAGGCCCTAAATGCAGTGAGGACCAGAGAGATGAAAATGATTTTCCTTCACTCCAGCCTAATGCCCTTATTCATTGGCTGTGGTCATACCTTCAGTCTCCTTCCAGGATGACTGACAATGTCCATGTCCAGTTCTTTCAGAGAAACCCAGTCCCTCCCTGCAATTAAAATACATTAGAAAAGAATTGTGCAACCTCAGTGTGATTTACTCTCTGCCTAAATCACCTGCACTCAAGTGGCTCAAGGTTTCCATTTTCTTTAGGGTCTTTGGGTGGGACGTTGTTTAATATTCTAGTGTAGTGTCTAAGAGACCCTTGAAGTGATTTCCATGGAAAAAGAGACAATCTGCTACAATGATAAATGCAAAGTTCAGTCTGAGAGACAGAAAACAATTTAAAGGTTTGAAATGGCAATTTTCACGTTTCAAAACTCTTAGACACTGTCATATCCAGAGCTGTCTGTGATAAGTACTACAACTAGGACATCCCAGAACTGCTGAGATTGAGAGAATCTAAATGGCTGACCCATCCATCAATCCATGCCAGAACAGAGCGAGCTCTTCAGCAGTGGTGAAGCCCCCTCTGAGCAATGCTGTGGCGTAGTCCTATTGTCGTACATCTCTTTCCATCCACACTCTGCTTGCACCCACTTCTCTGTGTCCGCTCCTGCTTATTCCTGCCGGACAAAGTTATCCTGATTCTTTTCTACTTCCTAAAAGCCCTCTCATTTTATCATGGTATCTGGTTCCCACCTCCTCTGTGAAGCCCTTCAATGAGAGCTTGGACCACCTCTGCATCTCCAAAATTGAGATGCCCCCAGATTGACATGAGCAGTTCTCACAGTGTTTTTGTGAATCTACCTTCTCCCTACTATTGTCACATACGCTTCATGCTCATACACATTCACTCTCTGCCCATATTTATTGAGCAGAAACTGCTTTCCATACCTGAGAACTATAGACATAGAACCAGACTGGTAACTGTTCCCATAGAACTTTTAATAGAATAATAAAGCATCCATATATTTCCCTTCTGTTCCACACACATGTGCATTATATGCACGCAGTAAATACCTGATGATTGACTGAATTATTGATTGATTAATTAATGTTTTTCCTTACTCAAAAGCTATGATCCTGTGCTACACCAGGCAGTGTGCTAAGCACTGCGGTTTCTGGGTGGGCATAAAAGAAATAGTGTCCATGCTCATGAAGCTTTGAACCAAGGTACCTATGTAAAGCCTAGGATTAAGTCATTAATTTTTAAAGAAATATAGTTTGTAGAAAGACTTCTAGACAAATGCATCCTTTCACCAAGAGCATCCATACTAACTTAACATCCAACTAACTGCTTTTACTTCAAAGATGTTACTTAATCCACACAATTGTATGTGGTTGGTACAGCTCTGAAGGTAAGAACACTGATGATCAGAGAGGTTAAGTGACTTCAGCCTGTGCCTGAGTGGTAGAGCTGGGAACCCCTTGCGGGTCCCCTGAGTCCAAACTCCAAACACTGTGCCCAAACATCTGGGAATGATTCTCTTACTTTTAAGGATCAGAACTGTGCCACAGTCCCTTACACAATCAAATAATAGAGAGATGGAGTTGAGATTCTCATGCAGACTGTTAAGTATTATGGAAAAATAAATGAGAAATAATGATAGTTATGTCAGGAAGCAGGATTTTCAGTATGAAAGAAAGAACATGAAGATGTAAGACTGAAGGGATCAAGTAAAAACCTTGCAGTCAAATGAGATTTATTTTTATTTTTATCCCTGCAAAAATTATACCTCAGATTTGATCTTGAAAATATCTAGAAACATGGAGGATTACTCAGTTTTAATGTTCAAAATATTTTATTAGTTTAATCTGTATCCAAAGATTTTTTAAACATTGGATAAGATCGTTTGTTAGAGAATAGATGGAGACGGGATTTCGTTCAATTCTTAAATAATTCAGTTACTGTTCACAAAATACTTTGAGTAATGTAGAAGGAGACTTTACAACATAATGGAGTATCCTCAACTTACATCTTCATTTTACAATAATATTAAGATCATATTTCCAAGATCCCTATAGAGTCATGATAAGGTAATCCAAGTAATTTTTCTTACAAACAAAAGAGATCTGTTTCTTACAGGCTAATTATGTACTATTCCAATAAAAGATCCAAGACTTCTCCAGGCTCTGTCTCCACACCATAAATAAGAGCATCAATAGTAAGTAATCCTTGTATTCTTGCTTCGGCCAAGAGAATATCTAGTTATTAGTTGTGGCTCCGTTAGGTTTTTCCTTGGATTTCTAACTCATTCCTGAGAAGAAGGGTGCATTGTGTTTTACGTTAGCAATATTTCTTGTTGATTCTCATAACTCCACTTAATGAAAAATAGAACTTGGTCTGGATTCTTAGTGTCTTGTGGCTCTTTGTTGAGAACTAATGGATTTGAGACACAAATCCATTGCAGTAGTGTGGGAAACCATCAATATATTTTAAAGTCAGCTGGTATAGTGGAAAAAAAATAATGAAAGGCTGGAGACTCAGCTTTGGGTTCTAGCTTCCTGACCTCTTGTGAGTAAACTTTGGAAAGTTATTTAACTGCGTGGAGTCTT